GTTTGTTTTAAAAAAAAATTATCGTGTATTTTAAATGTCTTATGACTATTGTGCTTATACGAAATTATAATTTTAATGTCTATCACCTTGCTAAGTTCACGGATGCATAAAATATTGTCAGCTACGCGAATATATAATAGATATCACTAGCACCAAAGTTTTTCGGCTCCTAGTAATTTAACAGTGACAATGAATTTCAATTACGTTCCTTTCCCTAAAACAACAATTCGACCGCTTCATTTATTGATGATGATCCTATGTAACGATTAAAACCGCTTTTAATGCTCAGTATCATAGCCAACCCAAATCGTTTGTCAAGTTATGCAATTATGGCACTGTATAAAAAATTCGCAGTAGGTCCACTTTGTGTGCAACTGGCTGATATATGTTTAAGTACAACTGAGTCCTTTCATCAATCTTATTGGCCAATAAATACAATTGACTGGCTGCAAGTTTGAAAATTATATGCGCAATAAATATGCGTGCAACGAAATAATTCAATGGAGTTGTTTTACTGTATATTTCACGTACTGCGATTTGCACAAATTTTTCAAAAAAAAGCAACGTTTGTTTTGTGCATTGAACCATCAATTGTATTTAAATATAATGATTTTAGAACGTAATTTTGGACTAAAAACAATAATACCAGCAAACTACGGCACTGGACATGGACATGGGCATTGGACATTGGACATGGATTTTTGCATGGTATAAGATGTAATGTTTGACATTATTAATATACCAAGGCCATCTAAAAAAGAAAATGTTCCAGCGCCCGATGGAAGTTCAACACAACCTAAATCAACTAACACTACCGCGCCAAACTTACCACTTACTCATGCAAATTACGTAAGTAACTTTACCATTGAGAATATTCTTTCTAAGACATCAATAGCTACTGCTACATCATATCCTGGATCTTCAACATCACAAGTCAAGCACCTTCTTTCGTCTTTGTATGATAGCTCGCCTAATACAAACATTCCTATCACAGCAGCTACACAGCAATCTAGCCCATCTTTACCACATATACCACACAAAAAGATTTAAATATCAGATTTTAAATCTCAATATGTAAAATATGCATAAATTGTGTACAAACTGTATATTCAATTTTGGCGAGCGAGATTGTATATCACCATGTTACTTAATAAAGGTGTTTTATATGTGACATAAAATACTTAAGCACTCCTTTTTGAATTTCAAATGTGCTCAACGACAACTGGTGTCAAGAAGAATAACAATCTTGAGCCTCTTTGACTCTACAGCTACAGCAAATTTTGAAACTCCTATTACACTAGCAATTTCCTGCCAAATAGCCATTATAAGCAATGCTGTACAAGACATAATAACCAATTAGTTGAAAACTGAATAAAAACGAAAAAGATGAAGACCCAGTTCATACCATAAAAGTTCAAATGTTGACAAACTAAATAACATTCCTCTTACAAATTGTTATTAACGTTTACATTACATATCTCACTTAAGCTTTTTTCCAGGATTTTTGCAAAGTCATTAATATTCTAAAATGCCACAACTCTTTATTAAGTAGATTTTTTTCGCTTTGTAAACGACAAACTATGCTAACTTTTTATTCATATAAACTGCATTCATCTTTGTTTTCTTAAAACATTCCTAATAAAATTGGTTATAACTACTTTATGAAACATGCAATGCATTCTATAATTACAGAACAATAGACTCCAAGGGTAAAACGTGTTATAGGTAATAGTATGCTCATTAATTGACGTTGCTAAGGAAATTATAAAGTTGCAGTTCTCCACTAAATTGTAATTCAGCGGACGGCAGTGTCCATTTTTTAGTGACGATGAAAACTGTAGGCACAGGTAACAACAATTGGCAGAAGACGGCGACTCGACAACAACAATTGCGAAAAAACGCTATTTTACTTCATTGGGTTACAAAACTGACGTTTTGAAGTTAACTTTACTGTTAGAATTGGAATTTTGAGTTGGTGTTGGAGATAAATTTAAGCAATTAACTTATCTAAAATTGAGCTGCACTTTATACTTCAGTTTTTTTACAGCTTTTTATGTCGAACTTAAAGTGCAAACGAAATGACTTCGAGGGAAAGTAATAGAAAACAGTAAATAACTCACCAATACATGGTAATGAAGAATTCATAACATATTCTCAAATAAAGTACTAACCAACAATAGGCAAAGTCGATAAATCAAACCTTACATTGATGACAGAGTTACCATTACCACGATTGAAAGTTTATATGAAGTCAAGCAGATTGAAAAGTGTAGCTTTGAAATGCTTTATTAAGGCTGATTTCCATTCAGTGCAAATTATCCCGCAATCACTTTTTCAGATCATTTCCTTTCAAATGTAAGCTCGTCACCGGAACAGTTTCACATTGCTGCATACAAGTGATCGCAAAGAAAGTCGCACGCGTGACGATTTGCACTTAATGGCAATCTGCCTTTAGTCTCTATGTCCTTTTATACAATAAACATAATGATTTTTTTGTTGAATAAATTTGAAACATTCATCTGCGTTTATGTCTCTTTATGGATTAAGCATTCGTCAATCATGCTAACACTTAATGTCGACCAATTTCAAAGACGAGCAGTTTTTTTTAATATATCCTGTACAACATTTGACTATCAACAGAACTTATCGCGGTCTTTTTCAAACCCTTTAAATCCCCTCAAAATTTTTTCAGAAAAGTTTAACCTTTATTGAGCACAATTATTAAGCGTACTTTTTTGGTTTAGTGATTATTGCTGATCTGTTTCAGACGAGACAAATGGTTTTATCAAGTGGAGTAACTAATTATCAAAAACGTACCTTCAATGTTCAAAGTTTTGTATTTGGTTTGCTTTAAGCTGCATTAGAGAGTAAAAAAAAGGAGCCAGACTCATTTTTCTAAAAAATTTAGTCGGCGAGGTTTCTTAATAAACTAATCAGGGATGGCTGGATGTAATTGCTTTTATCCTTTTTTGCTTTTAAAATATCTTTATGAATTGAAATTCTGCATGGTGAGTCAAGGCGTTCATCACCCGTTGAATCCCTTAAAAAAGTTTTCACCCTATCTAAACATGAAAACGACGTTTCAAAGCAAAAAAAAACGGCAATAACAACGTAAAGTTTTGTTAATTTAATAAATTCAGGTTTATACTTGTGAATAGCAATGTGATAAATATATTGCAATCATTCTATGGAGTTCGCTTTTAAAGAATCTTTATCTTGGTACGCAAAAAAAAGTTGATTTCGAAGCCTAGGTATATTAAAGAGAGGACAATATTTATCTGATAGTTGTTCAATTTTTTTATTGCGAATAGTTGTTTTTTACTGCACAAAAAGTTTAGGATTGGCTAAGTCATGAAATGAAAAGCACTCTGCATCTCTGAATCTTCCCTTAAGCACATTTGTTACAGAATCAATGACTTTGTAATAAAGTTGTTTAAAATTTATATTTATCTCAGATTTTTGAGATGGAGGACCAGTTTTACTTTCAGTTGCAGAATAAAAAAATTTCAAAAGCTGTTTCATTTTAAAGGAAAATAAGAAAATTACAAAATTCTTTAATTTCTCTTATGCCAAATGCATAATCTGTAGACCTATTTTGTAGAATATCATATAAAATGGCTGATCTCTCTAAGATTTGGTAGTAAAATCGTAAAAGGAAACAAAAAAGAAATGATTCAATGTAGTGGAGGAGGCCATCAGTCCGTGTACTTGTCTCATCATTCCATTTGCAAGGATTTTTACTGGTCTCTGTAAAGGCAGTCATTAGTAAATCATAATTCTTAAAAATAGCAGACACATCTTGAGTATTGAAATACCACATGGTTTCCCCTGGAGCAGGTTTATCGAAGCCATTAGATTTCAGGTGGGATTTACTCTTAGGACTGGATTTTGTAGAGGTGGAAAATGCAGAAACATTAGCAAAAAATATTTTTATCTCTTTACTTTTCAAAGCAGATTGTCATACAACCAAATTAAGCTTATGTGCTGCACAATGAAAAAATAAGCGTAAGGGTACATCTGTCTTAAAATTTTCTGTAAACTATTTAGATGGCCACCATCACAGACGCCCCATCATAATTCTGTATCACTAGTTTAGATATTACTGCCTCTCCATGTATCACTAATACCTTGTGTGCTTCTGTCAGTACTAACACTTGTAAATTTTAAAAATCTTTCCACATTTTCACTCCCTTTGTCTAGTCGAATATTGGCAATGAGTTGTGTTTTTGCTGAAACATCAGCTGTTTTATTAAATTTAATGCTAAAAATCTGACACTCTTTCAATTCATCATCAGTCTCATCCTAAATGACAGAGTCAATACATTCAATTAAATCATTTTTGACATCAGATGAAACTCCAGTAAAAACTCCATCTTCATCCACGCTCTCTGCAACTTGCAGTTTACCTTGCAAATGACGGTCAAAACAGAATCCAGTTTTCCAAAGAATTTTAGTAATTCTTTGTAGTTACCTTGGTTAAGACTAGCCCTACTCTCATCGTGTCCTCTAAATGCTAATTCCTATTTGGCGAGATATAAAACTGCCTCTCCAATATTTTTTAGCATCTCTCTGTTTTGCATTGCCTCTTCCATGTGCCTCTCAACTGCTTCTCGCAGAGCTCTCGAAAACAAAACATCAACACTCCCTCGAATTAAATACCCTCCACTGTTTGCATGCCTCCATATTAGAGTTTGTTTACTCGTGTTTAATGCAGTCATCAGTAAAACTATACATGTTATAATGGACTGTTGAAGCCCATGGAGACTTTCTAGGGGAAGAATGAAACAGAAGACATGTATAGGTATTCTGATTGGGCAATTTTTTGCAACCGTATGCTTTCATTGGTCAATTTTTTTTGCCTAACTTGAGCAATTCCAACCAATCATTGCTGTTGATAAGCATAGTTGAGCTAGGCAAATTAGGCAATTGAAAATTAACATACACTCGTATTGTTTCTGAACAGCCTCTGTGCTCAGTTTACGGTTTTGTGATATTTTATAATGTCTTCATTGTGTTGTGGTGATTTATACGAGACTGCTCAGTCTGCGTTGGCCAAAAACGATTTAAAATGCCTTAATGAGCTTTATTCTCGTTTATTGGTCGACGTTCGACCTATGTTTACTAACGAGCAGCTGTTAGATAGAATTTATGACCCCGACCATACTCTGTGTCGAAATTTTGGAGCTGAAATATATGTGCCAAAGCACGCTCATGACGGAAAGACTTGTACTGCAATAAGGTAAATATATTATAATTATATATATCGTATTGTAGTATTTATATATACGTGTAAAATGGTTAAATCTCAATTTCGCTAGGCTATATCTTTGTCTACAGTCAGCAATTCATTCATACAATGCAATCAATCTACCAAACAAAATATTAATTTCTTTTCTTGAATATTTTTTAAGATCTGAAGCTTCTGGCAATTGCCTCTACAGTTCAGCTTCCCTAGTTCTGGTAGGTAACAATGCATTGGTCCCTACTTTGCGAATTTTAACATCGCTTGAGCTATTTATTCATGCTGCTTTTATGCTCAACACCCATGCTTTTTGTCTGTTATAAGTGAGCACAGTGATTACTTTGCCCAAAGCTTAAACAATCTTTTGCCTTTGTCAGTGTCTAAAGAATGTTTAGACACTGGATATACAACAGATGAACTGGTAAAACAGGAGGCTATTTTAAATTGTAATGACCAGAAATGGTCATCTTTTCTTTGTATTTTGGGCCTATCTTCTGTTTTAGGTAGAAAAATTCATACTTTTATCCTGATTCTGGTGAAAGTAGATATAAATTGTTATTTAATCGTATTGTTCAGCCCCGTTATTAAGCCAAAGAGGTTTGGATGCTATTAATATTTTGTTTTGTCATGAAGGATCTGTACAACCAGGTGAGACTTTTCAGTCTAATCATTTTGTGCCTCTCATTTTCCATGCCCACAGGTTGAAGCGAAAATTGTCTAATTCCTGTACACAGTCTAATTCTAGCAGCTCAACAACAGAGAAACGAAAATTTGTCAAAATTTTTCCAAATATTGCACCAAAAACAGTTGACATTTCAAATTTTTTTACTTCAACTAATAGGCCTGCTGCCCAACCAACTTTTAAAAGGATGCCCAATGAGAGTTTTTCTTCTGCTGCAGCTCTTGCTCAGACATTAAATAAAGCCAATAGTCTTTTGCTTCACACATCATCCCAGGAACTATTGCCTGGTATTCCAACTTCTGGTGATATGCAACCTGCTGTTTTAACCCATAATTTTGATGTTTCCTTGTATAGGGAGAAAGTTAAGGGTATGGATAATTCTGAAATATGTCATTTGATAAAAAATGTATATAAACCAGATAAAAAGTATCATTTTCCTAAATCTAATGGCAGATCATTTAGGCATGATTGGCTAGACCAGCATGAATGGCTTTGCTATTCACCTTCACAAAATGGTGCGTATTGTCTATCGTGTGTGTTGTTTGGCAATAGATTCCCAGGCAAGGCCAGTAAAGTAAAAAAGTTGTTTACTGAACCTCTTCAAGATTGGAAGAATGCTAAATGCTCTTTCACTCAACATGCTGGAAAAAGTAAAGGAGGGAAGTCGGTTTGCATGCATCCACATCACCAATTTTGATGCTTTGCGTTCCCAAATATCAGGTACTCTGCAGCCTATCGAGATGATCATGGATGCTGGTATCAAGAAAGAAATAGAACAGAATAGGGAAATACTATCTCCAATTATTGATTCTGTCATTTTTTGTGGACGTCTAGGTTTACCTCTTCGTGGGCATCGTGATGATTCCAAGTATCACCCTACTGTTGGTTGTTATTCATCTGGAGGGGTTGGTAATTTCATTGAAACACTCAATTATGGAGTTAGGAGAGGGGATAAAGTTTTAGAAAATCATTTAAAGAATTGTGGTAAGAATAGAATTTATATTTCTAAAACAAGTCAAAATAAAATCATTAAATGTTGTGGCCAGGTAATCAGTAATCAGATTATTTCTGATATCAAAAAAAGTAAGTTTTTTTCTGTTATTGCTGATGAAGCATCTGATTCTTCACATAAAGAACAAATGTCTCTTGTTTTGCGCTTTGTTGATACCGATATGAATATCAGGGAAGAATTCATTTCATTTCTTTTTGTAAGTGGGGACTAAGTGGTGCTCAACTTGCCAAGCTACTTTTAGAGGCTCTAAAGGAACTGACTTTATCAATAGATGATTGTAGGGGGCAAGGTTATGATGGGGCTGGTTCAGTTGCTGGTTGCACTAATGGTCTAGCAGCTCAAATTTTAAAGCTTAACCCAAAGGCTCTTTATACACACTGCTATAGTCATAGGTTAAACTTATCCATTTGCGATTCTTTGAGTATACGTGTTGTCAATGATATGTTGAAACATGTTAACAATGCCACTAATTTTATTAAAATTTCCCAAACTCGCAATATTCCCTTTGAAAACATATACGTAATTCAGAAACAAACTCGAAAAGACTAGATTAACAGACGTTTGCAAAACTAGATGGGTAGAACGTATCGAAGGTTTAGATACATTCCAAGAGCTTTTGTACCTGTATACACCACCCTTAACGATATGTCTGAAAATCTAGATGGTGAGTTCAAACCGTCGCTTCAGTCTGATGCCTCATCTTTGTTTCAACTTATTGACAGGTTTGATTTCGTCGTTGCTTTAGTTATCACGAGAAATATTCTTGATTCAACTCTTCCAGTAACACAGTTATTACAGGGTAAGAGTATCGATATAATGGATGGTATTCATTTAATTTCAACTTTGAAAACTGAGGTGGTGAACATGAGGAATTCCTCTGATTTTTATCATGACACCTGGTATGACGAAGCGCTTGAACTGGCAGCAAAAGTTGGCATTGAAGAATGGAAACCAAGAACAGTGCGCAAACAAACGACCAGGGAAAATATTCCCCACACAACCATTTCTGAGTATTATAAACGTGCAATTACTCTTCCTCTACTAGATCATTTGCAATCTTCTTTAGAATCACGATTCGACCTTGAGAGTGTGAATGTCTATAAAGGCCTTAGCATTGTACCGACGAAAATGATGTCCATGACAAGAGATGGGGTGGATTGGAAAGAGCCATTCAAAACTGTGGCTAACTTTTATTATGATGATTTGCCAAATCCTTTGGCCTTAGATGCTGAACTTAGGTTGTGGTACACTTATTGGGAGACCCACTGCGGCCTCCTTCCTGATAACATTGCCCAGACTTTAAAATCTGTTCATTTCGCCGGATTTGAAAACATTAAAATTTTACTACGTATTTTAGGAACGCTCCCCATTACCTCTTGTGAATGTGAACGATCTATTTCTTCCCTTAGGACACTTAAAAACTATCAGCGAAGTACCATGGTTGGGGAACGCTTAAATGGTTTGGCCTTGATGCAAATTCATCAGGAAATTGTACCAGATATTGGTGAGGTTATTAATACTTTTGCTGTTGGAAATACAAGGCTAAAATTTGCATGAATTTATTCATATCCTAGTTTTTTATTTTGTTGAAATGTCCATATGTTAACCATTTATTGTGCGTTGTACACAATAGTAACGTCAATAGAATTTGCATCAAACTAATAGCTCCTTTTGCTATTTGCTGAAGGTGTGAAAGGCGAGTTTCTGGCGCCTTCAAAAACCAGAGTGCTCATTTTTAGGTGGGGGGTAAAGGGTTGGAATTGACTGGGATGGTGTGAAAAATTGAGCAATATCACATCCATGAAATATCCCATATAGTCACCCATTTCTAACCAAACTCCTTTTTCAAAGGTGTGTAGGCGAACTTCTGGTGCCATAACCAGTCTGCTTAATTCGGCTCTCACAGGGCTGTCCATGCCGGATCACGATTTTTTGTTTTGCGTTAAAGTGTTCCTAGGCATGCTGATGAGCCCTGATATGGGGCGAAACAGTCTTGTGTGCATTCAATATTCTGAATAGTGAAAATCAACGACCTTGTGATATGTAAGTATAAATATACATAGGTTTAGCGCTGAATGACGTCATAATGTTTTGCCTATGGTATCCAAAATCCTAGATCCGCCCCTGCTATCATCCACCACAAACACTAGAGCAGATATTAAATCAATAACAAAAATGACTATAGGAGACCTTTTATCAATTGCAATAAGTGCAATAAGCTTTACTTAATCCTCAACGCACACATTTATAATTAAAAATTATTGAATGAAGCTGAGAATTATATAAAAAATTATTCAATGTCATCCTCCAAGCAAAGCAAAGCTGAGGATGATAAATTTCCCCCATTGATTGGATTACTCTTTATATCATGCAAAAACCAAAGCACATAATTCAGTTTCTAAAACAATTGAAAATCTTGTGGAAGATTCTATACCTCAATACACTTAATGCTGTCAATTTTTAAATTGAAAATCTCGTTACCTACAGCAAATATTCAACGTCCAGTGGGCGGCAAGACTTAATGTCTTTGATAAGATATTATCAGTCAAGATTGATAATGTTAAGACTGAATTATCTGTAAGCTCTAAGCCAATCACAATCAAGATTGCACAACTTTTGTATAATAACTGCAATTATCAAGAATTGCTATGAATGTTTGGAGAGAGAAATAGCAATGAACATTTTTACAACAACTATTGGTAATGATTGTCACATTTCTCTTAGTTAACTATCCATAGACAATGCTCGCTTGAGATTGATTAGGATTGAAAACAGTGGACACCCCGTGATGATTGTTTATCCTACAGTGTAAATAAAAAGAGATGATCTTTAGAATTCAAAGTATTGTTATAATAATCCTTATCACTATGTTAAGTTCACGAATGAATAAAGTATTGTTATTTGCGTGTATATATTGGATATCTTTGTTACTACCATTAAAGCTTTTGTACTTCAGGTAATTTTCCAGTGGCAATGAATTTCAATGACGTTCTTTCATTTGAAAAAACACTGTGACTGCTTCATTCATTGATTATATTCCTTATGCAAAGATTGAAAACGCTTTTAATGCTCTGTAACGTAGCCAACTCTAATCTTTTTTCTTCGCAAAACAGTATAGGGAATATACAGTAGGTCCGTTTCGTGCGCAACTGGCTGATATATGTTTAAATACACGTGACTCATTTCATCGACAATATTCGTTAAAAATTACAATTGACTAGCTGCTAATGCTAAAATGGAAAGTGTAATTAGATATGCTTGGCACAATAATATAAGAGGAGTGGCTCTACTGTATATTCCGGTTCATCATTCTTATTCGTCAAAAAATACAATTGACTGGCTGCCAACGCTAAAATCATATGCATAATGAGATATGTGTGGTACGAAAAAGTTCATAGGAGTGGCTTCACTGCATATTAACAATACTGCGATTCGCACACTTTTTTCAAAAAATTAAAGAGCAACGTCTTTTTTGTGGATTGGGCCTTCAATTGTATTTAGCATAATGATTTTAGAACGTAATTTTGGACTAAAAACAATAATACATACGTATTACAGCACTGTTCATCAAGTACTTCAAGCATGAAATTCATTTCAGTTGCTTTCACACGTCCATAAGGATTAACTATTCTTGAATTATGCAAATTACAAGTGTCGGCTGATTTAAATGACGCGTAGTTTTTGATACACCCCGGTAGAATATTTTAAGTATCGACATTATCTGGGAAAAAACATGAGTTCTGATATTTATGTTGGCGAAAATATTTCCACTAAAGAAGAATCCATTGAGGTTACTAAGGATGTCTCCCAAGACCCTTGTACCTTGTCCAGCAGAACACCAACGGAACGAGAACAAATGACAGAATCAACAAGCGAGCCGCCTTACACTTATGTGGATCTTATAAAGATGGCATTCGCAAATTTAACATTTCCAATAATGACAGCATCCGAAATCTCCAACTTAATTGCAATAAAGTTTCCCTACTTTAAAAAATATATGTTAAAACTGCATGGCAATGTTCGAAAAAACTTATCGCAAAACGACGTTTTTGTCAATATACATAGGAAGATGATTGATCGATGCTCAAATGAGGATTACTGGGCAATAACGTCATATGACTTTACAGACAGCAGTATACTGAAATATGTACCAACAGAACGGAAACAACGAGGAGTGGATGAAAAACCACCCTTTAGTTACCTCGCTCTTGTCCAGATGGCTTTTTTGTGTTCACAAAACAAAACAATGACAACAGCAGAAGTATGCAAGTTTTTCATGAAAAATTTTCCTTACTTTCGGAAATCCTTGAAAAAATGGAGTTCCAGTGTTTATTGCACCTTAAATGCTAACACTTGTTTCACTAAAATAAGCGACTCTAGAAACGTTTACTGGGAAATAAACTATGATTTGTGTATGGTTGAAGATTTAATGTGTGACATTGTCAATTTACCTAGGCCATCTAAGAAAGAAACTGTTCCTGCCCACGTTGGAAATTCAACTCAATTCTATTCAAGAAAGATTACCATGCCAAATTTGCCCATTACTAATCCATTAAACGCAACCAATTTCACTATTTGGAATAATTTTGCCATGACATCAACGACTAAAGCTACATCATCTCCAGGATCTTCTACATTTCAATCGACGCTCCACAGCTTTCCCTTGTATGTAAGCCAGCATACAACAAATAATCCTGTACAGTGTTCAACACTATCTACAGCTGCTCAAGATTATATACATTCTCCAACTCCTATATCCGAGGTAATGAATTCTATATGGGCAAACCAAACTTCTTCACAAAGACTTGTACATTATCCACCAATGTCTCAAACTTCACAGCAATATGTACATTCTTTACCCTCTACAACCCAGGAAATGGCTTGTACTTATGCAAACAAAACTACTACACACAAGCTTGTACATTATCCACCAATGTCTCAAGCTACACAACAATATGTACCTTCTACAACCTCTTCAACCCAGGCAATTTCTTGTACTTATGCTAGCCAACCAACTACACACAAACTTGTACATTATCCAGCAGTCTCTCACGACACACTACAATATATGGCTTCTACAACCTCTTCAACCCAGCTAATGCCTTGCACGTATGAAAGTCAGCCCACTACACACAAACTTCTACATTACCCAACATCCTCTCACGATACACTACAATATATGGCTTCTACAACCTCTTCAACCCAGGTATTGCCTTGTACTTATGCAAGCCAACCCACTACATACAAGCTTGTACATTATCCAGCAGTCTCTCACGACACACTACAATATATGGCTTCTACAACCTCTTCAACCCAGCTAATGCCTTGCTCGTATGCAAGTCAACCCACTACACACAAACTTGTACATTACCCAACATCTTCTCACGATACACTACAATATATGGCTTCTACAACCTCTTCAACCCAGGTATTGCCTTGTACTTATGCAAGCCAACCCACTACATACAAACTTGTACATTATCCAGCAGTCTCTCACAACACACAACAATGTATAGCTTCTAAAACCTCTTCAACCCAGCTAATGCCTTGCTCGTATGCAAGTCAGCTCACTACACACAAACTTGTACATTACCCAACATCCTCTCACGATACACAACAATATATGGGTTCTACAACCTCTTCAACGCAGGTAATGCCTTGTACTTATGCAAGCCAACCCACTACACACAAACTTGTACATTACCCAACATCCTCTCACGATACACTACAATATATGGGTTCTACAACCTCTTCAACCCAGGCAATGCCTTGTACTTATGCTAGCCAACCAACTACACACAAACTTGTACATTATCCAGCAGTCTCTCACAACACTCAACAATATACAGCTTCTAAAGCCTCTTCAACCCAGCCAATGCCTTGCACGTATGCCAATCAGCCCAATACAAACAATCTTTTACTTTATCCATCAGTCTCTCAAGCTACACAACAATATGTACCTTGTACAACCTCTACAACACAGGTAATGCCCTTAATGTATGAAAAACAACCCACTACACACAAACTTGTACATTATCCATGAGTCTCTCACGTAACACAAAAATATATGGATTCTACAACCTCCTCAACCCATGTAATGCCTTGTACGCATGAAAGTCAGCTCACTACACACAAAATTTTACATTATTCACTACTCTCTCAAGATACACAACAGTATATATCTTCTACAACGCCGGTAATGACTTGTACGTATAAAAGCTTGCCTACTACCAACAAACTTGTACATTGTTCACCTGTCTATGAAGCCAAAAGACAATATATACCTTTTACAACCCCGACTCAACAGGAAATACTTTGTACTTTGTCGTAGTATGCAAATGAGGCTACCACAAACTTTCCCATAACAATCAACCATATGTCCAAAACAGAAAATCATCAGATAGCGACAAAGACTCTTCAAAAACTTGGGAAAACTTAAATCTGGATAGGTTACAAAGAATTTCTTGAAGAAAAACGTTTGAAATTATTGATTTAAACGTATGCACAGGAATTCGACATCAGATAATTTCTCAAAATATTCATTTGCTCCTATAACGAAAAAGATTGATAATGTTTTATTTTTATTTATAAAGATCTTTAACATACTTTAACATACTTTTTATTTATAAAGATCTTTAACATACGTTTTTTTGGGACTTTGATATGTAATTTTTCTTGATTATTATTTCATTGCACTGATCTGTGGAATACGAAGAAATAGAGTTAAATTTTTAATAGTTTAATTCTATGTGCAAATACCACAAAAAGATCTGATTGTATGAAACCTCTACGAATAGAATATGCGTTGCATATTAACTTGGTGATGAAGATTGAATTTCGCCATGTTAATTGATTTAGGTGTTGTAAACGTTGCATGTAAAAAAATATGGAATAGCCCAATTTTGAATTTAAATTTAACACAACAGCAACTGATTCCACCAATAATGAAAATCTTCCCACTCGATTGGTCTGTACAGCTCAACCAAGTCGTATAGCTCCTATTATGCAAGCATTGTCGTGCCACCACCGCACAACAAACATTTCTTTACAA